TCACGAATCCATCTATTATCAAAAAGAGGTTGTTGACATATTTCATCCCACCTTTCTGGCGATAGCTTGTCTGTTAGAGGGAATTGTCTCCAGGTTTTCAACATGGAAGTCCAAAAAGGATCATTTTTTAAATCAAGTCTGATAGCTTGTCTATCCGGACTCAATGCTGATGCTACATGATTGGATTTTTCCCTAGTAATAGAGTATTCCTCTACATGTTAGGGCCACATAACCCCATCCTTCGTGTAGCTTTGCCCTTCCAGGCGGAATGCCAAACAATATCCAATCATCTGTTCATTCCCAGTCTGATCCCACATGAGCCTCCTAAACAGTCTTCCACCACATCCATAGCTCGTCAGCCAAGGGGCAGTAGAGCCAGAGATATTCAGTAGATTCCCAGCCCCAGTTGCACCTCCTGCATGTGACACTTAAGTCCATGCCTCTGGTATGCAGCCACAGTGTTGACATCGTAACTTGCATTAATTGCGTCCACATCAGACTTGTCTGCCTCTGAGAGGGGATTTTCCTCAGGTTTTTTCACAAATGTGGAAAGTCTGGGGCTTTCTCCGCTGTTTCACGAATCTTCTGAAATCTTTTTACCGCCGCATCAACAAGCCTTACTTTCCTCAGGCGACAACTAGCTACCCCCGTCTTTGGCTCGTAAGCAAATACAAGGGTCTTCTTTCCCTCTCTAGATGTCCAACCATAGAGTGTTGGATCAACCTTGTAGGTCTCTGCCAGCCCCCTTAGTAGGATTCCTCGCCGAACAGATTTACTATCATCATTCTCCCAGACTTTTACTTTTGTTAAGTGTTTTGTCGACTGGATGGACATCTCCTTCACGAAAGATACTTCCCTCCCTTTTTTCTCTTCCCTACCCACCACCCAGCTTTCCACTTTCATTCCTTGATGGAGGTCGGGGCCCAACACCTTCACTACCTCCTCCAGTCCCGGTGCTGATGCGTCAACTAGCCAGGTGTCCTGACCGTGTTCTGCTTCACGTTTCAATAAACCCTCCCATTGACTGGGAATTGCCTCCGGGATTGCAGACAGATTATCCTGTGCCACACGTAGACGAGGGAGTCTCTTCCAGATGTCTTCATAGGAATGCCACGATTGGTTGTCCTCATCCCATAGATGCTTGACCTGCAAGATTCCTCTTTCTATCCGAGACTTAACAAAACTACCGCCCTTTTCAACTGTGTGAAAAGGGGAGCCCGCCACAGACTTAATCAGGTCATTATCAAAAAAGGGTTGGTTTGAAATCTTCAGCTTTGAGGAAGGATGCTTCAAAGTCCTGTGCCGAATCCTAGACCATGCCTTAAGGATTGCAACCCATATTCTAGATTTAACTTTTCTCCTCCCCATGTCTGTTTGAACTAGACATACCCATACCTGTTCTCCATCATTTAGTGCCCAGTCTCTCCTGAAGATGTACTAAGCCATCATAATCCAAGTCTTGTGCTCCTTATGTTCCAACAACGCCTTGATCACCCATTTCCCTAATAAGGCAATGTTTTGGTCTCGAGGGTCCAGGATACCCAGCCCCCCTTCTGTTCTTGGGAAGGTTATTGTGTCTCATGCCACTCTCGCTATAAACCCTTGTTCCTCTGTGGCTGCAGGCTTCCATATGTATCTTGCTGCCACTTTTTTTATTGTTGTGTACGCCCCATCTCCCAACCAGTGTGTGGTCAGGGGGAACCATAGCAAAGAAAAGGCGGCAGAGGACAGAACCAGTGCCCTGCCAAATAGCGAAAGTCTGTGGTTTCTGATCCACCCCGTGATTCTAGCACAGACCCTCTCCTGAAGAATCTTGTCTTGATCTGTAGAGCAATCTGATAATGCCACTTGTACCCCTAGGAAGTGTTCAGATGAACCTTCTGCAACCTGCTTCAAACCCCATTGTGCGCACATCTCATAGGGATGGGGAAGAAAGTACAAGGATTTATCCCAGTTAATTAATGCTTCAGACAGTTGACAATATTCATCTAATACGAACCTGAGTTCGGTGAACGCTAAGAAAGAGTTTTCACACGCAATTATTAAGTCATCCGCAATCGCTCCCCCCTTCCAATGAATGGAGGGGGGGATTTTTAATCCAACAATCATCGGGTTATGGCGGATATTATCAAGCAATATTTCTAGTTGGAGCACGAATAATAGGGGGGCCAAGGAGCACCCCTGACGTAATGAGCGGGTTACCTGAAAGTCCTCAGACAAGCGACCGCTTACTATTACCATGGACCTTGACTGAGAGTACATTGCTTTGACATTGGATACAAACTGGGAGCCAAAACCCATTTTAGATAAGGTAGTAAGAACAAAAGTCCATCCCACCTTATCATATGTCTTTTCCATATCAAGAAGGAGGACTGCTACCTCCCTCCTTTCCTTAGAGATTATTTCAAGGGCTTGCAGGGTGGTCATTATATTTTTAAAAATCGACCTCCCTTTTACAAAGGCCCCCTGTTCTTGACCGACTAGAAGGGGGAGAATGTCTGTCAGGCTGTGTCAGCCTACTCGCATAGGCCTTGCCAGTATTTTGTAGGGAACGTTTAAAACCGATATTGGTCTGTAATTCTTGACCTCGGCCTTGTCCCCTTTCTTATATAACAGCGATATAACCCCTTTCAGAAGGTCCTCCGGTAACCTGCCTGATGTCCTAACGTTATTAAAAATATCTCTTAAAAAAGGCCCGAAAGCTGGCCAACAGGCCTGGTATAGTTCCACCGGTAATCCATCCAGGCCTGGGCACTTGCCCAGCGCCATTTGTTTTACCGCCTTACCCAGTTCTTCAACTATGAACGGTTCGTTCAATGCCAGCATCGCAGAACGTGAGACCCGAGTAGTAGTTTTGTCCCAGAAGCTACTGGTGATAGAAAGGTATGTGTCCAAAGTGTCAAACGGTCTCCTTGTAGAGACTATATCCTTGAAGTACTCAAGCGCATTTGCATACATAGTTTCCATATCAGAAGCTGGGGGCTGATCTATAGCAAACGGATGACGAAGCTCTCTAATCAATGGCTTGGCTTGTCTCGGAATAAGTGATCGAAACGACAATTTCGTCATTCGATCATATCCTATAATCTCTCGGATCTTCAACCACTCCAGCCATTCAGCCTGTTTTCTGACTTCCAGTTTTTCCAACTCTATCAATGCTGATTTCCACTTCTCAATCCAGAAATAGTCCAGAAATGGTTTTGTGCCCATATGGCTTTCTTCCTGAATCACTTCCTTCTTGAGCTTGATTTCCTGCCATGTGCGATTTGCTGATTTCATTCTAGAGAAGTTCATAAGGGCTACTCTAATTATATTAATACCTACTTCCGCCCATTCATGCATGTCCTCAAATAAGTCTTTCATCGTGTTCCACAAAACCATTTGGTTTGTAACCCATTGTTTAATACCCTCATCTTTAAGCACATTCACATTCAACCTAAATGGGGGTCTTTCTTTCCGAATCACTTCTGCCGAGACTACATCCATCAATACTAGATGGTGATCCGACAGTGATTCTGAGCCTGGTAGTATATCGCACCAGAAGCAGGTATTCCAAGGAGAACCCCTTGCCAAAATAAAATCAAGCCTGCTTCTTGGGGCTGGTGTATGCCAACAGGGTTGTGAGCAGACTTGCATCATGTCTGGGCGAAAAAACTGACAACAAATCCAAATTAGGGATCATTATCGTATTGAGGTCTCCTAGTATTACCAAATTTTATGTGTCAGGCAAAAAGATCGGGAGGTTGGCTAAAAAATCTATGCGGTCTATTAATTCCGCAGGCGCGTAAACTGAGACAATGCCCCACTCCTCCTCCCCTAGCAGAAGTTTAATCCATGCGATTCTTCCACCAGAATCTGCAGAGGACCAGACTTGGGGGCCGTCCCAATAGGAACGCATAGTCTGTAGTTTTTCAGTATTTAACTTAGTTTCCTGGATGCCTAAAATGTGAACGTTATTAGAGTGCATCCATGATCTAAGTCTTGAGCGTTTAAATCTGTGGGAAGTATCGCCTAAACCGCGGACATTCCAAGATGTCAGCCGCAGTTTAGGCATTAATACCATCTACAAAACTCATGCCGGTAGCTTGGTTCCGACTCTGGTCATTGATCTGTATCAGAGACCTTCTCGAATCTTTGGCCTCCTTACCTGAGTGGCTAACCATCATTAAATTCTAGGCTAGGCACGCCCCAGAGAGCTTTTCTTACCCGTTTGTATATCTTAACCAATCCAGGATGACCACTCCTAATCTTTGTGCAGGCATGTGTAGTTTTTCTATCGAATCTGTATTGCCCGAAAGAAAATCTTGGAGGGGGATCCAATGGACCCTAAGGTCGCACCATTTTTCAAAGGAATCACAAATTGTGCGAATACCCATCAGGGCCATGTGGAAAACCACCGGAGGGAGTTGGTGAAAGATACGGTTTATTTTAAATGACGGAAGCACAACCACTGAACCAGTATGATTTAGCACTTGCCTCTTGGCCACCTCCACTGCCTCCTTGTCCGAGGGTGGCGCACTAACTGAAATTGATGGAATTTTCAGACCGTCCTCATTTGTAATTCTGGTGAGAAGTACGGGTCCTACTGCTGATTCCGAAATTATCAAAGGGACCAAAAACTGCTTAATAGGCCCTTTGGTCTTGTCTACTTTGGTGATTGTCTTCATCGGGCCGGCCAACGACAATTCCCTTCTACAGTGACTGTGGGGTCTCGGTCTCTTACGACCGTCCTTGTCCTTTTCGGAGTGCAGCTCCCGTGGCGGACTCCTTGTCTCCTCTCCCTCAGCTATCCCGGCAGATGCCCCGTTCCGTTTGGATTTTTTGGCCAGAGAGAAGTCAATACCTGGGCTAAGCCTAATTCACCCAGTAACTGTCGACTACCCACCTTCTGAAAGGGAAAAATGTCAGCTAACTTCCATGTGCTGCCCTCGACATTTTTCTCCATTTTCGGTACGGGTCTGTCGGAATGGTCTTCATCGTCGAAATATAAGTGTTGTTGTTATAGACGATGAAATTAGCCAGTGGTTGAGGAACAGAACCCCTCTGCGGAGGGGTGTTAACTTCCCGACCCTCCTTCTGAAGTTAAACCTCCCTCAACTCATGCGGTACCTCAGCCTCTGCTGATCCTTTTTCTTTAGAATCATCATTACAACTGTTTTCTCTTTCCTCTACAAGCTCCTTTCCTCCCTTCTTCTCCGTCACTTCTACCTTTTGCCCTGCTTCCCTTCTAACCCCTAACCCGACCTCTCCTTCCTCTTCCACACCTTTTTTGACGCTCTTAATGACTTCCTTTCCACCTCCCTCCTCTTCAATCATCCTCTCTTCGGTCTTCCTCTCTTCTTCCTCTTCCTCCTCTTCTTCCTCCTCTTCGTCCCCTTTTCCCTTGCCATCCTTACCTTCATCTTCATCTTCATCTTTTTCATCCTCCTCCTCTTCCTCTTCATCCTCCTTATCTTCCTCCTCCTCCCCCTCGTCCTCGTCCTCCTCCTCCTCCTCCTCCTCGCTCTCAAGCTCTTTTTCTTCAGAATCCTCCATGTCCTCGGAGTCATCGTTTTCCTTATCCTCTCCATCATTAGTCATTTCCACATCCTTATCCCCCTTTTCTCCTTTTTGCTGGGGGCCGTCGCCTAGGGGGGTTTTCCCCCTTGCTTTTGCCCCTGCAATTACACCTTGTGTCTCCTTTTGGGGGGTGGACGCGCATCTCTGGGAGCTGGAGGGTTCGGGGCCTTTTTTTTCCATACCACAATAGCCTTACCTCCTTCCTGATCACGTGAGGTTGGATGATGTGGCTGGTTGTTCTTCTCAGCTTCTTTGTCCCGAACCGTACCCTTCTCCTTCTCCTGTCGACTTTTCTCCCCCTGAGATTTCCTGCCCCTATCCTCCTTCTCGAGGTTTTTGCTCTTTTCGGCTTTATCAGACCGCTTACTCTTGTTACGGGGCAAGTCCTTATTTGGTCTGTTCGGTTCCGAAGAGCTCGTTTGCCGTTTCGAAGGGAAGTCAGCTGATTTGTGAAAATATCTTCTACACTATTCACACCATGGGGTATCCGCACAGGTAACTTCGATTTCAGCATAACCATCGTCCAGGAAGTCAATCAACAAACAGGGTTTGTATCTCATTCTCGCTGACGAGACTAAGTCAAACCGGATGTTCATTAATTCTGGCTTACCTGGTTCTTTGAAAGCAGGATATGCTTTCAGAACTGAGCCGAAGGCGTCTTCTACCGCTGACTTTAGCTGGGGTAGAGCCGAGATCGGAACTTGCAAGCATCTAATCCAAAAGAATTGAAAACGCATGGCTTCCCTCCATTCGTATAATTCATAGTCCGTCATCCATGGTCGAAACGTAATAGTGTAAGTTTTACCATCCAGAACTATTTTTTCCTGTTTCTTCCTCAACATGAAGGACGCAATCTGACTAGAAGTAGAAACGTAAGTAACTAAATTGCGACGTTCATTATGGAAAAGACCTCGTTTGGGAGGGACATTGACCACACGACTAGTGACCCAACGGTCTTCATAGATGCGAACAAGGCGTTTCTTAACGTCCAAAGGCAGAGACGTTGTTTTGTCCCCGAACAAAATCGTTATCACATGCTCCTTGAGCCAATCCACTTGGAGCTTATACACCTCTGGGTTCACGATGACTCTGACGAAATCTTCCCCAACTTCGATTGTGTTTTGCGCCAAACGTTTGGGGAGGATTCCATCGGAGTAGCAGGATTTGAAAATTCCCCGAATCCTCTGCTTTTCAGGTTCCGAGACTGGTACATTCAAATTCTCCGGTGGAGGGGGAGGGGGAGCAGAAGGGGGATTTGAGGGCCCAGGACCCCCAGAGTCGCCCATTTTGTGACCTGTCCCTTTACCTTCCCTACGACAAAAGTGCACTTAAAGCTTTAAAACAAATAATATTCCAATAACATGCGAAGGGGAGGTGGCGTTAGTCAATAACTACCACGATAAAGATTATCACTCACCCTCACAAAATAGAACACACTAACGTACCGTCAGCTGTTAAGGCATCAAATAAATAACTGGTCATCCCATATCTACTCCCACCCCAGGATTTTAATGAGCATGAGAGAGCAGTATATCTTCCATGGCTGCTGGAGATGACACACCTGCCTTATGAGAGACGGCTCCATGTAGCTTAGGAAACCCAAGGGTTCCTAAGCTTCTTCTTCGAATCAGCATATTCATCGCTTCCTTTCACTCTTCTCCCATAATCATCATGTTGTCCTGTTGACCGGCCGGCTCTCTTGGACTCCGCACTTGGCTGGCGAGGTTTCCCAGAATAATCATATCCCTTAGGATATGGCCAGACGTTGAAATTCCGGAGGGAAACCCTACACCCGCTTTGCCAGAGCTTTTCCACCATCCCTCATGGGCGCTAGCCTTAGCCCTAATCTTGCTTAGCGCCAAGCGCAGGCAAAATTAGCGCACCAAAATTGGCGCACCAAAATTAGCGCACCGCCTCCACGCCGGCCTCACTGCTGGCCTTTTTTTTTTTCCGTGTTGGATAGAAGATTTTCAGTATTTTGCTTGCTGTTGTGCAATTATCTCATTGGGTGGAGCCCTCCTTCAATCACGGAGTATATGGAGGGTGTGAGGATCACTGCTGACAGAAGTCVAGTTTATTCCAGAAAATGTGGCAGTTACTTTCTGCATTGTTGTTGCAACCACCACCATCAGATCATTTGTGATCTGATGGCTGGGAAGCACTCTGCCGTGATTTCAGGTGGGAGGTCTCTGTTTTTTTTTGTTTTTTGTGCCGTCCTCCTGTTTTCTCACCCCAGAAATTCGTAATGAACCTGTCATCCCGCTGCCACTCCGTGTCACACTGGATCGGCCAAACTCCTATCCGACTGCTAATGGGACAACACCCCAGGGGGATTTTTTTTTATTTTTTTTTTAACAGGGACTCCATTCTATTTGTGGGGAGCAGCACATGCTGGGAATCAGGCCCAGTGTCCCTTATACACAAAATTAAACCACCAGTACTTGGCCCAGCTATCGGCCGCGGCGCTTCCCCGTTAACGCGCCGCGCCTTTACGGCTTCGGGGTACCGGACCACAATGGCTGTTTCCTAAGCTCATTGCTCGTATACAGGCACTACTTTAGGAAGTACTGGTCCAGTGGGTGCTAGGGGTGCTGATAGGAGTAGGCACCACTACTGTCTTCACCCGAATAGAACTCTTGGTCATTATGGCTGCATCTAGACTGAAAGTTGCCCCAAATACGGCTATAATGACCGCCCATTCTAGTCCGGTGAAGACTGTTACGGCACTCCCAGGGAGGCTCCGTCTATTGGTGGGGACCAGCACCTGCTGGAATCCGGGTCCAGCGTCCCCCTGATCATTGTAGTTGTTTGCTTGTTTGGATTGAACAGAGTAACCAGACCTTCTGACGTAGCCGGCGCGGGGGTATTACCCTGTAACCTGGTGTCAGGGGCCTGTCACAGTGGCTAAGGGAGATGTCGAGGGAGGAAGGCACTCCCTGTCCGTCCGAACTACTGTCTTCCCCCGAACATAAAGCACCCTAGAAATGAACGTATACAAGCTATATTTTCGGCCAGATACAGCCAAAATAAGGGTGCGTTGTGTTCGGGGGAAGAAGGTAGAGTTAGGCTGGTCTGTACTGGGGAAAGTTGTGGTGCCCTGTTACCCCAGCAGAAGGGGGTATGAGATCAAGTGAGTTCTGGTACGAGGACTGAAAGCCTGGACCGATGCTTCGAGAAGAACACTTTATCCCTTTTTTTTGGGTTTTTTTTTCCATAAAGCCCAGGGTGTTGTAGAGGCCAAGGACCAGACCCACGGTGATTGCTGGCAGCAGCAGCCAACGGTTGTCCTGACAGGATAGGCCTCCTACCCTACCCATCCCCACCTTTACACTCCCAGCGCACCCCCTTTCTCTACTATCCTAGCTCAGTGTGACCTGCACTCAGGACCATCATCCTACCAGGCTACCAGTATAGAGGGCAAGTCGGACCAGACAGCCGTGACAAGCACCAGGGCTGGGCCAACCCCCCAGCCCTAGTGGAAGCGGAAGGGGGCGGACCTTGCCGTATGGGAACTTCGGACGCCAGGCCCTTGCAATATTCGACAGGCCGAATTCAGAGAGTCTACCCAGCAGGAGTGCCTGAGCAAGGCAAGCAGGCGCTCACGGACACATCCTACGGTCCTTCCCTTAACTTACCCAAGGCTAGGCGGAAGTCAGACCAGCCGGAGCGACTTATACCCCTACCCAGAGCTAAGCCATGCCTGAGTAAACCCCGTCATGTACCTGATAGACCCCCCCCATCCGGGCATCATAGTTGTGTGTATATGTGTGCCCAGAGGCTGTCATGTATGTTTGCATGAGCCCGTAGACTATGTGTATTTGTATTCACGAGCCATAGCCATGTTTGTGTCTGCCTGCTCTGTCTAACTGTATAGGGAGATGTATGTGCCCGAAGGCCAGATAAGTGATAGACCACATAAGTCCAATTGGCTGCTGGTAAGAGAGCTGGTCACAAAAAAAAAAAAAAAAAAAAAAAAAAAAAAA